TGAGTAAAATGTATAAATGGCAATAAAGGCTGCTGGCCAATTTTGGAAAAGAGGTTATTACTAGGGGTTTAAAGTGCCAGGAGCCCCAGAAAATTCACTGGAAACAACAGTTTCATGTGGGGGAGGAGGTGGGCATCAAAATACAGCTGTCAAACGCACAGATGTATTGTGAGAAGGAGCATAATGGGGACTTATAAATACATTAAAAGTTTTGATGGAGTGCTCTTTTAAATGCTGCTGCACACCCATATAACAGTACCTAGCATGCATCTCATTATATAGATGTCTAATATTACTATCTTGTATGTCAACAGCAGAATTTGCTTCATTTTGTTTAACCATATATGACTTACTTGCTTCTCTTCCCTTTTCACCATCCTCCATTATATTTATAGCTCACTTTCTCTATTCTATTCCCTCATGCTGCTATGTATTTGCCATAAAAGCTATGAGCAGAGTTTATTTCACTGCTACAGCACACTGAGACCATTTTCTTATACTTTTTCATTGGGGAAAGTTATGAACAATATTTGCTTTTTCATCAGAGGCAAAACATCTAAAGTGAGCAAGGTCAGACCTGTGGGCTACCTTCATAAAGCACCTTGTTGAAATTAGGGGAGACAAAACTACCTATTGCTCCTCATAGTACAGAATGCAGGTTTTCCTTTAAAGTGGCCCTGTTTATTACTGCAAATAACTTGAAATATGCATACATAGGAAATAAGCAAGTGAATACTGTCCTGCTGCCCATACTGCTAGAACACTGCTCCATTCTGTACAAATATTTCTATGAAGTCCACAGGGATACCGACACTTCAGTTTCCAGGGTCCCCCACAGCTCTCAGTGGTGCCTCAAGATGACCTACATGTCACTACAGGAGACAGTTACGACATGCAGATCAGTAGATGTAACACCAGTGATTAAATCACTCCAAAGACATCCTCGAAGGTTAATTGGCTCCTGTCTCAATCGGCCCTGTATGTATGCATGTGAGATCGGGAGCTTAGATTGTGAGCTCTTTGAGGGCAGGGACTGATGTGAATGTGCAGTATACAAAGCGATGTGTAATTTCTCGGCACTATATAAATACCAGTAAAAAAAATAAAATAAATATACGCTTTAGCATGTTAATGTCATTTCAAAAGTATTTTCTAATCATGTTAATTATGCAGCTTTCTTTAAAACAATTCCTGGGGATCCTTTCAAAAGGGCCTTGCTCATGCACTTCCTGCTATAGGGTGACAACACTCTGTCCACGTGTGTTGGTTGTGCTGTCTCCCTGTCACATGTGATGTTGGTGACAACAAGTTGGCCATGATAGTACACTCACATTAGGTAGGCTTGCTCCATTGTTGCCACCTTTACGAAGCCCACCCTGGGCACTGACATTTAGCTGTCACTGGAGCAAGTGCATTTAGACAGGAAGGGGCTGAAAGATCTGGAGGAGATCAGCAGCACTTAGGTAAAAATAAAGGATGGAAAAAGTGAAAACTATTTTTAAAAAAAAGGCAATTGTAAATGATACTCAGAGGAAATCTAGTTAGAGTTTACATCCAACTGCAGATCTAAAATCCCTCTTTTACATACCTTAAGCCACGGTCACGTGATGCCACAGCCCCAAGTATTCACCTGCTCTGGTTACTTCCTGCTTGGGTCCTTATTTGAGTGTCAACATTAGCGCATGCATGACATGGACACTTCCTATTGGATGTCCATTGGCCAGGGTCCTCTTAGGATTCAGAAGAGGGCCGACATCAGCATAAGGGGACCGGCGGTCTCAGGTGCCATTGCAACTCTGGATTCGCTGTCCCCCCACCTGGAATCAGCAGTGGTGAGGGACACAAGGTAAGGGGAAACAAAAGCCTATCAAAATGGCATAGAGGCGAGTGGTAGGAAGGGATCGCAATAAATATGTTTTGAGTACAAATGGGCTTTAACATCCTTTGCAATGGAAGTGGAGCTTTGGTGCCTTTATAAGAAAAAGCTTCTCATGTTTTTCAAATGAAACTTTAATTTCAAATAGATGAAAACACCTCATCTAACATCACATTAATCTCTGTCGCCTCTTGAGCATGTAAGGTTCCAGAAAGCTCATAACGGTATTTAATCAATCAGCTGTCAGCTGAGTGTAAGTATACAGGGAGTTCCTGGCCAGCATCAAACTGCTGTCAGCTATAATGCACTGAATGAAGCCTACACAATCCAGTAAAATGCCACATTTTAGAGGGAAAGTTTAGCGCATTTTTACAGAGCCATATTTTCAGTTATTATCGCAGAAGTCACCTTAAAGCAGAACTCTGGGCAGAGTTCTTCTTAACCCTTGCAGTGGGGCTACCCCTGCACTTAAAGGGTTAAGTGCTTGTTTTGGTCTAGGTGTTAAAAAAAATTATACTCTTAGACACCTCTTAGACAAGTCCCTGGAGCCTCTCTGTACCTTTTCCGTGCAACGGTCTAAAGTCCTGTGAATCATAACCTTCTATACACAAACTATAGATGTGAAAAACATTCCAATGCTGCAGAGTAGGAGGAAAGAGGCTTCAGTGACCAGAAAAGCAGCGGTTCAGGTGAGTATAACTTTTTTTTAGCACCTAGACAAAAACGAGCACTTAACCCTTGCAGTGCATGGGGCAGCCCCACTGCAAGGGTTGAGAACAATTTTGCCCAGAGTTCTTCCTTAAAGCAATTTTGATGGAACATTTTTAAATGCTTGTGCCTTAGTATTTTTGTCATTGTATTAAATATTGATATTTGAAGATTAGCCTTCAGATGGAGCAATCAATAAATCTGCAATCGATCTGCCTTTAGTCTTAAAAGTTAAATCTAATAAATCACATGATTGATTTAACTTTTGTTTGAAATGTATTTTTATGGACACTATTACAGACACACAAAAAGAAAACAATAGAGACAGGTGTTTTAACAATTCCCTAATTTATCTAAAACAAAGTGTTGACCAGAGATAAGATTTTAAACTGTTTGCATACTAGCATGTGTGTGTAAATTTCATCTTGAGCTATTGAGCTCTGCAAACAGACTTTTTACAATAAAAGGTGAAGAGAGCGTGGAAAATTTGTGCTTTCTTTTTTTTTTTAAAACAGGAAGGAAATGTTCCTTTTTTGCCAGTTTACCCACATAAGTGTAAACATAACTCTCATAACTCTGATAATTATCAGAGTTATTCACTAAAAGGGTGAAGAGTTTGGAGAAGGCAGGAGAAGTGAACAATTTAGGCCAAAATAGCTGATTTGGAAAAGTTCTCCAATTCAGCTCACTTTCCAGTTCAGTTATGTTGTCCTAGATTGTTCACTTCTCCTGCCTTCTCCACACTCTTCACCCTTTTGTGAATGACCTTGTATGTTCTCATTCCACTCTGATTTATTTTCCTCTGCTTTTTAAAGGCAAGGTTTAAAAAGCATAGTAGCTTAGTTGGTAAGGTTATATGTACACAGGTCCACCAAAGTTTAGGCTATTATATGTGTATATGTGTGTGTGTGTGTCTAACAGTTCCCATATCCTTGCATATTCTGTGAACTGAAAAACTCATCTAAGGCCCCATTCACACTGAGCGATATATCGCGCGGGTATTTACTGCGCGATATCGCTCTCCAATGCATCTCAATGGGGCTCTGTCCGTCGCTGTCCCGGGTCGTGCGTCGCTACAGCAGGACCCTTTTTGGAGCAGATTTTGCCGCGATTCTAGGTTGCTTAATGCAACCATTTGCGCAATATCACGCGGCAAACGCGCGATATCACGCAAAATGCAAATCGCGTGACAAACGCACGATTTGCGAATCGCTCAGTGTGAATGTGGCCTCAGAGTTTCTAGAATGTATTGATGCTATCAGCTGATACCACTATCTGAGGAATGGAATTACACATTGTTACTGCTCTCACAGTACAACAACAAAAAAACTTTTACGCAGTCTAAGCATAAATCATCTCTCGTCCAACCTCATGTGTCCTTGTGTCATCTTTAGGGTTCTTATTCTAAACAGTTTATTGCCTATACTGTGGTCTCCAATAAAGAATTTGAACAATCAAATCTGCATTTTTAAGCGCCTCTTCTCAAAGGGGAACAAGTTTTGTTCTTGGAGGCAATCTTTATAACTTAGACTTTGAAAAAAGAATGCAATATTTTTTCTTCAAAAGAAAGGTTAACTAAAAAAACAGGTTAAAATGATGTAAAATTGTCTGCCATTTAGAGTAAAGACAACCATAAGCACACACTTAGATTGTCAATATGGGATTGATTTACTAACGGACATAGCTACAGGTTAATTATTTATTGGGCATCCCTGTATTCAACTATACAACCGTACTGCAGTGGCACAAAGGTCCTTTCCCCATTCCCTGCTTCTATAGCCCTGTTACTGCCAAAATAAAGTATAAGTGTATCTATAACATAGCAACATACAGCACTGTTTGCAGTGTTGCTGGCACTTACAGAAGGGTTTAGTGTTATAAAGTCGGAAATGGTATTCTGAAGACCTTTAATAGGTTCTCATAACATCCTTGGCATCATAACAACTTTGTAAATTGAATTACATATCAGAAATGTGTAGTAAGTCTATTTTACATTGCCTGGCCATCTCAGGGCTGCCACAGCATTCCTCTTCCATAGTCACAATGTGTTTGAAATCACAATGGGAGCACTAGAGAGAAGGAACACTGTGCCAATCCTCAAACATTTACACATTTCTAGAATGTAATTCAAATGGCAGCACGTCTATTAAAGTTGTGGTCTGCACTCATAATAGGGCATTGCAAGGTGAAATGAAGCTGAAGCAATTGAGCTCAATGTGTTAATTTCTTCTGTATGGAGTTTACATGTATGCATGTCAGAGCTTTGGAAAATCAATAGCTCAATTTGACATGTACTTTACAGGTAATTGACCGTTACATAATGTATTCTTTATAGTCTGCTCATATCAGCTGCATTCACATTAGAGGGTCTTAGTATAAATAGCAGAATTATAATTTATTAACAAAGGCTATTTACCTTGGTCTCAGTATGGTATTTGGCACATGCTTGAAGCTGAGTCAACCAGAACTGTAGCTCCTTGGAATCAGCAGCTGTAAATGTAAAGAAACATTACTATAAATAACACTAATTTACCAAGATTAGTATAACTTATTGTTGTCACTGAGTAACTGTTTTTAGGGTGCCACTGCTAACCTCTTCAATTAAAAATGTAAGTTGCCTGGCTGTTGAGCCGATTCAAAGGCTTCAGTGCTTTCTGAGTGTCTGATCTGAGACCAGTATGCAAATCACAAGCTCCGATTGTACTTACTTTTCTTGCTGAAGGCTTGTTACAAGTTAGCCACTCAGAAAGTGAGGTTGGAGGCTACCAGGCAAATAGCATTTCAGTAGGAGGTTAGGGATGACAACTCGTATATTTCTCTGGTACAGTTTCATTAAAAATCAAATTTAAAAAACGGAATGATGCCCAGTAAACCCTAAAAATCAATCATTTTCATCTCTTACCAGGTTACATGACTCAGAACGAAGAAAGCTCACTGCTTATTTGTTACTATATGTTATATCATTTGCACATTGTTCTGTGATTTTACTAAATCAAGAGATCACTACCATGTTCCTGCTGTATACACGGTTTTGTATAAATACCTCATGCCTTAAAAATGAATTACTACTAAGATTAGAAGTACTTGACAACAAGACCTGATGTTAATGTTGCTCTCTTTCAGTAGTCCTGAAATAGTTTAAGCTGGCCATACCCTGCTCGAATTCGGCTAGACAGTGGCTGCAGCAAACCTGTTCAGGTATTCTGATAGCGGCAGGCGCTTAAAAGTATTTAATTGAATGACTATGATATATACTAGTGAAACTCAAAGGTTTGAGTAGTGTATAAATGCGTATCTGCAGGTATCACAATGGTAGTCATAAATGTATTCCTAATTATTCATGTTTACTTAGCCACTTCTGGACCACAATACGTAAATATGAAGCCGTGTTCTTGGTGTCATTTTAAACAGCTGGCGATGGCTGTTAAGATACAAGTGATCTGGCATCTATACAGCCACCGGATCGTTTGTACCGGTTTGTACCCACCCCCTTCCGCCGCCACGGGCTTCCATGGGCGCCGCTGTCCCCCGTGTGCTTTTCTTTTTTTAAGATTCCCTCTTACCCTTGTAGTTAGTTAACCACAAATAAAATACACACAAGTAGGGATGCACCGATACCACTTTTTTAAGGCCGAGTACGAGTACCGATACTTTTTTTCAAGTAATCGCCGATACCAATTACCGATACTTTTTCTTAAAGGGACAGGTCACATTTTTTCTAAAGCAATACAAAATCATGATTTTAGGTTAGTTTCTTAATATTATGAAGAACATGAACACTCTGTAGTGTGGCACAGCTATATCCAATTCTGCATACCTGGCTTTATATTATAAGAACTTTATTATATTATAAGCCAGGTATGCAGAATTGGATACAGCTTCTGCATACCTATACAATAATACACTGTTCTGGAAAAAAAAATTTCTTTTTTTTAATATTATAACTTATGTATCAGAGTATTTGCACGAGTACTCATGCAAACACTCGGTATCGCCGCCAATATCGATGCTTGTATCGGTATTGGTGCATCCCTACACACAAGCATAGCCAATCTGGCAGTGTCCTGCTGTGATACGCCAATTCCCTGTCGCAAGCCTGGTCCTGCGCCATCATTTTCTTTCCTTGCATCACCAGGAGCTGGCTATCTCTTCTGGGTTCATGCAGCCAGTCCCTTATGACATGCCGGCAGGTCCACCCTCCTCCATTTGGAGTGTGGAAGCCGATGCCTGCTGGGAAATCTGACATTGAAATGGCAGGAGGCTGCTAAAGCAAAGGATGAATCATTTAAAAAAGATTGTGCTTTGACCATCAGATAAAGGAAGTCTGATACTGAAATTCAGTCACATGGTTCCATAGACCAAGTGGTATTTGTAGTGACTGCCAGAAATGGTCAGTAGGTTTCATACACAAAAGTTGCTTGCTTTCGCAATGTCTTTGCAGTGTTTTAGCATCCCAGAAGAAGCAGGAAATCACCAGCACTCAGTAGTAAAGATAAATATGTCCCTTTTATTGGACAGAAAGCGTCACATACATCCATCATAACTACTTCAGGACCGCCGTACGTATATATACGTTCTTGGTCCTGAAGTAGTTATACCAAGATCATGGCTGCTGCTGTTTTGTTTTTTTAGCAGGTGATGCTCGTTCTTTACAAGTGATCTGGGAGGCTATTCACGCTGCATAAGTGGTGCCACTTTTTGGGGTGACCCGGGACCATGGAAAATGCACTCAGGGCGGGGAGCAGGAGCAGAACGGGGAACATCCATTCCCCAATCTGCTCTGGGATCAGTGAGTCAGGAAGTGCTGTACTCACATCACTTCCTGCCCACAGCTGTCACAAAGCCGGCTGACGTGCCGGTTACACAGGTGATCGAGAACAATGCTGCGCTCGGTCCCCTGTATTGGAGGCCAGGGAAGACATCAGGGGTCTAACAGACCCCTGATGTCTCCATAAAGAGTACCTGTCACCTCCAATCTCCCATAACGGCTTGTTAGGCCCTGTGTGATAGCAATAAAGTTAAGTGAAAGAAAAATTAAAAAATAGTAAACTAAATAAAAATTTTACAAAATTTAAACCAACCCTAATGCCCCTGCCATCTGCATACAAATTAAAATGTGTGCATAGGGCATGCATGTGTATGTAAACGACGATTGCGCCAGACAGTATAACCACGAACGTTGGGAGTGAGAACAATAATTCTAGAACCATAATTCACTGTTACCTCTAAACTGATGAGCGGTAAGGCTTTCAAAGCAATACCTATAGACAATTTTGAGTACCATCGTTTTTTGCCATTGCACAAGCAAGCGCAGTTTTAAAACTTGAAATTTTTGGTATATTTTATACTTTACCAAAACAAAGGGTGTTAAATTGTGTTTCCGTGCACTAAAATTCATTTAAGTGTTTTCTTTCTAAAAATATAGTTTCGATAAACATTTGAGTATATATCGCGCAACATAAAAAAGTGCAGCTACCATTGTTTTATTCTACAAGGCCTCTACTTTCAGAAAATATATACCTGTTTGGGGTTTTGAAGTAGTTTTCTATCCAAAAATCCAGATAGTATGTGTGTGCAGAAATTACTGAGGTGGTTAATATCTATACCAGAAGCTTATCTAGCATGAGGGTCTGGTATAGATTAGGGGGGGTGGAACCAAAAGTAATATTTTTTACCTGTATGTTTTTTGCATTTTAGACTGGGGTGCTTCGAGATTCTGCATACTTTTATGCTGTGACTGAAAAATAGTTGAGAAACGCTGCTCTAGATGTCAAGATACTAGGTTTCAAACTGCTTTGTTTTTAAAGAGATACAATAAAGACTTGGATCTTATTCATTTAAGATACTGATCACCCCTTTCTTAGCCAGCATTGGATGGAGGGTGAGATGGCTATTTTGTGCTATTTACAAAATAATTCTAAAAGTAGTATTATTTCACAGGGTGTTAGTTGCCCAACTGTAGAATTCAGAGACTAGTCTAGTCTCCTGGGTAGGTGCTCACCCAGGATTACACATGTGTATGCATACATCTGTGTATGTGGATTCGAGCAACATTCACCATATTTATTCCCAGATAATTTTTGTACAAGTCATTCTGAATTGAAAAGGCTGGTCGGATGTACAGTGAAACGTCTTCAAGAAAAATACAGCAAGTCCAGTTGCCTTGACTTATTTTTCACAGATATACATGTGTATGCAGCTACAAGTGTGTCCCAACAAGTACATGAAGGTGTACTAAAAACGTAGGACTAGGAAGCATACAGTATCTGTGCTTTCCTATAGAAACGTCTAGCAAATTATATAATAGTTATTTTATATTATATTCATTCCATGTATAGATGGTGTGTATTGTTAGCACATGTATGCATAAACAGATATTCCAGGATCTGACCACGTACAAGCAAATGTCCGACACTTATGGACACTGGATAATATGGTTGGGGAATGTCGGTGCTGGACAAGCACAGGTGGATTTTCTGGCCTATTATCTACTAATGGATAAGAATGTGTGCTGAGGGCGTTCTATGCCTTAAAGTGACATTAAACCCTCAGATTTTTTAACATAAACCAATACTGTAATGTGTGCCTTACTGTAATCCATGGTAGTTTCCCTTCTCTTTGCCTCTCTTCCTTTTAAATCCTCATGTCTACTCATGCTGGGGGAGAACTTCCCTTTGCAGCTGAGTGCCTCTTCCTGTAGTGCTGGCTCAGGTTGCAAACCTACACACAGACACCATGTATCCATTTCAGAGACAAGGCAGTCTGCTGCAAAACAGAAGAAGTTCTGCCCAGCATGAGAAGAGATACAGATTTAAAAGGAAGAGCAGCAAAGAGAAGGGAAACAATCATGGATTACAGTAAGGCACACATTACAGTATTGTTTTATGTTACAAAATCTGGGGGTTTAATGTCACTTTAAGGTGTGAGTTCTCTTAAAAAGAGTTTCAAATTGGAATGACAATGCATTTGAAAAAAGAGTAAAGAGGAATGAAAGAGAGAGTAAATATCTGTTTTGGCTAAGAGACGTGACAACTTGAAATAAAAATAAACAAAATGAGGCCAAAGAGCTTCTAGATTAATTGCAAGCCAACAAGGATTTCTTTTTTTGTGAGAGAACAATAAAGGAGGTGACCACAATTGCACTCATAAGGCATTCTAGCTGCAACATTCGCAATAACATTGTGATGCTAAAATAGAATTACGCTGTCAATTACCAACCTCTTATGGTTTTCGAGCTTAAGGTTGATAAAAAGGGAGCGTGAGCTCTCAGGGGATGTTGGTTCTGCAGCAATTCTGTAGGCCATTTTCCAAATGAGTTAATATGCTATGTGTTAACTAGAGACTTTAGGAGGGATTTCAGCCAGAAGTATAAATTCTCCACTAACTCTTATTACAAGATCTTGTTATAATTGTTATAAGCCTAACATGGTTGATTTTACAATGCAAGAAAAAAAGACGAATAACTAAGCAGCAGTTACCAGCTCTCGAGG